AAACAAAGGACTCGTATATCATTAACGGCCATCATAAATAGCCGATGTTCCAGATATAACTTTCTTATAAACCAGCAGATTCCATAACTAATATATAAATGGATAGGTTATGCATTACCACTAGCACCAACATTCACGAGCATAAAGCTTATTTTTTCTTCTGTGATGTAAGTAAACTCAACTATTGTGCTTAAACCTATGTCTTCACATCATTTTCTATATTTAAAACAGTAAACAAATTTAAATCTAGTCTAATTATTGCACACCGTCATATCCGACCATCATAAACAGCATGTTCCAGGAATAACTTTTGTAAGCATTTAACTGAAAGTATCAAACTATACTGTAACTATTAATACTATCGTCTGCGATGTAAGTGCACCGGCCAAACGCGGATGTCTCTCACTGAATTTCTGGAGAACTTCCGAACATACTTTTACAAATTTCTTAATTAAATTAGATACTTAAAGATATAATTCTGATATAAGATACATACGACGATTTTATCAGACTCTTGGATACCAACCCATTTACATTGTCTATCATTTAAATTGATGCTTGCTTTCAAGTTGTCGTATAATAATTACTGGCTTTACAAGTACTTATCTTGTCGGTTCTTAAAATGATTCATTGGTTTTGCAGTAACAACAGTTTCTGGAAACTGTTCCGTGTGTTTACTGCTCTGAGAGCAAACTGCTGTTTTCTCTTATCTATATAGCCTGTTTGTGGATACATGTAACTTCCTCCCCTGCTCTACCAAGCCGTCACATTTCCCAATATTTCTATCACTAACAAAATATCAGGAAACCACCGAAATCTTCCTAGACCTGACACTGTTAAACTGTCTTTATAGAACTATTTCGCGGAGTTACATATACAATTTGGGTCTGACACTGAATTAAATTCCCGATGTTTACCCCTCTTCCAATTAGGTCTGATAACGACTACTACAAATCAATCGCAATAATACCAACAATATCGGGCCATAAGAAAATATTTCAGTCCCCACAGCTAATATCTATATTTGTTAAACGCTGAAAAATTCTTGTATTTGGTGAGCATTACTGTATTGTATCTGGTAAGCATGATTTGTTACGATTTCAAATTTCCTATTGTGTTACATACTGATGTTTTATTTGTATTAATACAAATTAAATGTATTTGTCTATTGTCATTGCTATATGTGATGATATAAAGTTTACTACCATCTGTGATGATACACACTGTTATCTGTGATGGTTCAGTATCTGTGACGATACTTGATTATCATACAATATCTTTGTATGTACATATCTATGATGGTGAATTATTATTGATGATATGCGTTATTGTCTGTAACGGTGCATTATCTGTGATGATACATGATTATCTGCGATCATACAATATATATGAGTGTACATATCTTTGATGGTTTGTTATCATTGATGATATACGTTGTTGTCTTTGATGGTACATTATATGTGATGAAACATTATCTCTGATGATAAACTCTGTTATCGGTTATGGTACATATCTGTGACGATTCATGATTATTTGTGATTGTATACATTTGTAACTGTAATATCACAGTATCTTTGATGATACATATATATGATGGTGTATTATCTTGGTGATGATAGGCGTTGTTGTATGTAACGGTACATATCTGTGATTATACGTTATCTGTTATGAAACATTATCTGTTATGAAACATTATCTGTTATGNCAATAGTTCTTTTCAAACTAAAGGTGCGAGAAAAAAATCAATTAAATGTAACTGAGCGAGATCGGGTTATCTCAGTCTCGGGCTAAGATTCTGTAACATCCCAACCTCGGCTTACGCCTCGGTTGGGATTTTGTTACAGAATCTTAACCCTCGACTGAGATAACCCGATCTCGCTCAGTTACAGGTAACAGTTTTTATTAGTCTTGCCAGTCCGCGCAGCGCTTAGGTCATATATAGCGCGATTGCGAACGTGCGTTGATTGTGATAGAAAGTTCAAACTATATACAACATACAATTTATTGAATGGCTCTCGTAATAGTAAGAGGTGAACATTTCGCTATACCTGATAAGTCGGTATTTACTCAATCATTGCATATTGTTAATTATTTAAAAATCATATGTATTATGTTATATTTGCTTACACGTTGTTGTTTGTATATTAAATCATGATAAACTCTGTATCGATTTGTTTTTATTTCCTTTATCGTCACAACAAATTGCAGATCATTGTTCCTGTTTTGATTATCAGATTTTTTTCTGGATGGACGCGTCCCTTAACCGATAAATAACGTATTCGGGGTTTTCTATCGGCTGTGTTTGATTGTTCTAGGGTAAAATGTGCGTTCGTCACCTTGACCTGATTCACAGTCAGAAGTTTTCTATATCTGTAACGTTCAAAGACTTTGGTAATCGGCATACTTGACTTGATTGGACATGATATATCAAAGCTGTTGCCACATGTTGTATACGACTATTGGAGCTTGTATGTTGTCTTTCTATGGTGATGTAATTTTCAATTGTAGCTTACAGCCTTGTTTCTGCTAACTTAAAGAATCGTAAAAGGGATGATGAATTTCCGAAATATTTTTATTCTTAGCTTTTGTGATATATATGTGTGTGTTGGTTGTCCTTATATTTTGGTATTCGATCAATCAGAGCAGTTCTAAATGATAGATATGAACTTCGACTAATTTTGAAACGGGAAAATCTTTCTCATGCTGTTATAACTTGTGTGTTTCTCATGCATGTAGACAATGATATTACACATGAACTTGACCTCCATTACATTAACATGAAGTTATCTATATTTCCCAATTCATGTCAAAACGTCTCTTTATTGACTATGTGTATTACGATATCAGTTGTAATTGTATTGATGTTTCAATAAAACCATCTGTATACAATCAATGACGTTCTACCCACATGATGTCATTTCCGTTTACTTAATTGGTTACGTCATGTTCGTAAACATTGTTACCATGACTATAAAACGAACTTCCGCTATCGTTAACTCACTGTTTTATAAAATATTAACGATTCGGTTGTTCGTCAGTCGCGCTGTTGCCCTGTAAACATGGCGATAAAACTGTATTTCAAACATAAAGTTATGTCCTTTTCGGTAAGAGGTTGTTTTAAAACCATACGCTTTCGTGTAAATATATGTGCTATGGTCATGCAACACCATCGGGTTTGAAGATACCACAACGATAGGATCCGGTGTAAAATGTTATGGTTCAGGGTAGTTGAGTAAAGCAAGCCATTCTTATAGGAAATACCAAACGTAAGCATTGATGGAAACTTTCTAGATAATCACTGGCGTATGATCCACGTTATAAAAGCTGGTATTTTTATTCATCACTTGATTACTTTTATAAAAATAAATTCAATCAGTTCTTTTGTATTTAGTTTTCGAATAAGTTTAGTACAAGTAATGACTGATTAAAACGCGCAGTTTGTGTTATATATGCGGCGTAATAATATCTCCATAATCCAAATCGGAGCGACTTCCGCTGTAGTGTATCGCTGTTTTGACGCAACAGTTAAAGTAGCCGTGCAGTTTATTGCATTTTCTTGCTTTTAATGGCAGATTGAAAAGAGTAAAATACGACGAATGACACTGGAGTGTGTTGCTTAAAAACAATGGAAACAATCAAGCGAGTCACACTGCATAGGAAAGTTTTAGCATCAGTATTGTATATCGCTGACGACTGTGTGTACTGGTGAAGCGTAAATCTACAGATGTTGATCAACATTGGGAATAATACCTAACAACTCCTCTGCCATTTAATGAATGCCCGTAGAACTGATAAACAGGGAGAGTATCCAGTATAATGGGCGCGTTATTTCAAATCGGTTAATATAAGTGTTTTATGGTTCATATCACGTCAAATTCACCATCAAAATAGTCCATAATTGTATAATACAACACGAGTAATATACTTCCATGAAAGACTATCTAGTATGATTTTTTTTTTAAATTGGGATAATTCCAGTCTCAACTATCCTGGTCACCACCATTCCGGTTGTCTGTTGAATTCTTTCTTAGTACAGTAAACTCAGATAAGTCGAAGTTATCGTTACACAAATGTTCGACTTATCTGATGGTTCGACTCTACCGAGTTGTATAGTGTAGGAGCACTTGAATGACCCGAGATGTATTCCGTTATCTGTTAGAGTATCGTCAGAATGTGTTTTCTCATCGCGAGCACGTGGATAAAATCGAGAGGCCACCGCATGTGGACTCGAAACAAACACTGAAAACACTGTGTGATAAACTGTTTACCATCTATATTCTACACTACCTGATATATTTTTCCATTTAAAAAATTCAAAAATACTAAACACCATATTTTCCAAATGACTTCTAGGCTCAATGGTCTTCGATCGCAAAATATCGGTCTGTGATATACATAAACAAATAGCAGGGATACCATGAACCCTAAAGCTATGTAGAAAAGGTATGCACATTTACGTTTAAAATGGTGTTGTTGTCGTCAAAATACCTTTTCGTAACTTAATATTGATTAATCACGGACTATTTTCTTAAGCAGATCACTTTTCTGTGGATACTATTTCCGGTTTAGGACGTCACCTGGCGCGAGCAGACGTTCTTATTTCAGTCCTTCTAAAGTCGATCTCATCTTCTTCTCATACTGACAACCCGCGCTAATAAATTTATGATGCTACTGGTAGGTGGTATGAAAAAGTATATATATGATAGCGAATACTATCAGTAATTCAACGCATAATCGTCATGTTGCCTGCAATCAAATAAAAACTAAAAAAAATAAGCAGTTAAATGAATTTGAATTACTGATAATAGTTTTAAACATCAACAAATTACTGACGTGTAGATATTTTGTAAAAATGAAAGCCAACCGTTTGACAATCCAGACAATTTAGCATGTAACGAAAACGACCAAAGAAATACACTTAATATGCACCATTTAACGCCTACTAACTCCAGTGGACAATTATATGAATCAGAAATAAAAATTTAAAAAACACCAAGAAGTTTTTGTATAATGATTTATTTGTCTTTCATATCGAACATGTTTACACAAACATGTACAAGTACTCTTAACTGGTCCATCTTATTGTTTTTCTGTCTAATTATTGGCGTTTAAAGTGGTCCAAATGTGCTCGAGTCATAGTTAACACATACCTCAAGTGAACGAATACAGATATCTATATTTTCCACTACAGATCAGGAGCGCTCGACATATTAACTTGAGAGCTCGAGAAATCTCGAGTGCATGACATATTAACTTAAGAGCTCGACATATATCGAACGCTCGACATATTACACGTTCATGACACATTATCTACCATGGCTAGAACGAAAGCTTATTCGTGCCCTTTAAGGAATTGATTGGTACAAACGAGGAAACGGGTCTATAAACGACGACTTTTCAACTCGATCGTACTATACTTTATCGCGTTCGCAAGACTATTTTCTCGTTCATACTACTTCGTATCTCGTTCGTTCGACTTTATTTCCCTAGAAATAGCAAGACTAAGCTTTCGTTGTCTAGAGCTCGGTATATTTGAATTTAAAGAAAAGCATGTCCTTAAAAAACCAGAAGGTGTTCTTGAACATTTCTTAAAAACTGCTCTTACTTTAGCTTTAACCATTATGCTACTTGACTTATATATATCACAGTGAGCAAGCCCGGAATGCGTAGTATTAGGCTAAAGTAAAAGAATAAAAACACCCACAGATTAGTCCGAAAACAAGGACTAAATTTGTACGGAGACACTAGAAAATGTACGAAGGGTAAAAAAGACCACGTGTTCCGGAAGGGTAAGTGTTCGCTGTTTCATCGATGACACTTGTTTTGTATATCCAGGTCAAATCCAACTGAAGTCACGTCCCCAAAATGAGATACAGGGTAGTGGCAATGAATGTCATTTGGGGAATGTATGTATGTATCGCTAAACGCTTATCACATTACTTGATCAAAACATTTAGTCATGAAATTGTAAGGGGAAACACATTTAAATGAATGAAATCTCAGCAGAGTTGACACTAGCAGATATCGCCGTCACTAGTGGAACATAAAGATAGTCTTTCCAGCACGAACAGCTGATGTACGTCACAACATCTGACGTACAAAGTTACAATAGCTCATGTTAAACGTCACAACAGCTGTCGTTAAACGCCACCACAGCTGATGTAAAACGTCATAACAACTTATGTAAAACGTCACAACTACTGATGTTAAACGTCACATCGGTTGACGTAAAACGTCACCACAGCTGAGGGTTAAACGTGACAACAACTGATGTAAATCGTCACAACAGCTGATGCAAAACTCTACATCAGCTGAAGTAAAACGTCACAACAGCTGATGTAAAACGTCACAACAGCTGATGCAAAACGTCACAACAGCTGATGTAAAACGTCACATCAGCTAAAGTAAAACGTCACAACAGCTGACGTAAAAAGTTACAACAGCTGATTTAAACGTAAAACGTCACGACAACTAACGTAAAACGCCCCAACTTCCGCCGTCGAATGTCATCGCAATTAGCGGGGAAACCAAAGTAGAATGGAACTAGAGGAATTGGAATCAGCAATATATGGAGAAGACACAAAGCGAGATTGTTGTGCCTTTATTTTGTAAGGTGCTTGGGGAATGAATATAGCGTAAGATGTGTCTAGTCAATATTAAACCACCTGGTATTTATCTATCACATTTATATTGAAATTTCACACATACAGCATTAGCAATGAGCAAATATTCCAATATACTTAATTAAATGACAACGTGTGCAACAGATGATTGTAAAATAAGACGCATGCATATCACATCACATCGTTCTGTAACGAGGCCACACGCTCCAAAATACACGTGTTCCCGTCGCCTAGAAACCACAAATCAATATCCTTCATTGCGGTAATTATATCCTGTGTTCGCTCATCGCTGGGATAGTAGCTTCTAATTAAGAAAATATCATTTTTGTCATGTTTACGTTTAGATGAAGTTAACTTCATGTACCAAGGGACGTCTGCGAAATGTTTTACCGGAAGTAGACTATATTTGATATTTCCGAATCGACGATATACTAGTTGAGGAAAGTACTGAAAAGGGTCTTCAGAGGATGTTATTCGACTTATTCGAGTGTTCATGCGGAAAAGTATATTACGGAGACGAGCTGCATACTCGGCTATTAGGGTGATAGACTCCGCAGTTGACTTGATAAGGAATAGTCCAGTGTCCAGAACGGAAGGGTTGCCTGAAAATGTGGTCGTTATAATGTCTAAACTTTTATCAGCACATAACAACTTTTCAAATAACGTCATAGGATTTTGTAACCAAACAGATTCAACTCGAAACACGAACACATTAATATTTCTTTTCAATAGGTTAAATATCAGATCAACTTGCCACTTCAGTACTTGAATATGGTTAATTCGTTTCGCTAAGCTCAAGTGATCAAATTCTTTTTCAAGAGAAAAAACATTGACTGAAGATTCAAAACTTTCTATATCCTCTCTATCCTGATCGTACAATGTAATAAAAAGCACATTTTCGTAGGAAATTAAATCCCGCACATTGCATATCCAGTTATAGACGAATGGAAGGGTGTCATTCATAACAAACGCGAGGAAAATGGGAGTATGTTGTGACTTAACACGAGTTGTTGCCCTTTGAACAACCTTCTCCATTAAACTCCTGGCTTTCCTCGTATCTCGTGGCAGAGAGGCTTCTGAAGTCACAGATCGGAGAGAAATAATTTCTGTCACCACAACAAACGCGAAAACAGTGATAGCACCGATCACAATCGGTTTGTACCGATAACATCCGGACTTGCACCATTTTCGTCGGATCTGTAAAAAAGAAATTACATTATAAAATTGAATTGAATATACTGGCGCCTTTGACCGCTAATGACATGTTTCGTATCCATCACGTTATCGTTAACTTAATGTCCTTACATAGACTGATGTATGTTGCTGTCGGTGGGCCAGCAAGAGCTCGGCTGATGGATATGTCTACAGTTACAACGGAAGCTAGCAGCATCTCATCTGCTGAATAAGTCTCAGTCAGTCTTACACCAAAGGCCAAGTCAACATCAATCAGAAACAGGATATTTTAAAAGATCTCTGAAAACGACCAGATGTCAACGCGCAGAACAAACTATATACTGCAGTGTCTACTTAGGATACAAGACATACAATCGCATAATCCACAGCGTCAAAGGCAAAACCAGTCGATAAAGGCAATACCAGGAACAGAAGAGACACTGAATAAAAAAGGAGAGACACGATGAACCTCCACAAATAGAACAGAATACAAGGTTATATCAAAGTTGTACTTTATATACAAGCATTGTACGTATTAAACGTGTCGCAACGTTCCAAGACAAACTGGTCCCTTTTGTCAAACTAGGACTGAATGGTTGACCTGTACAACCAACGATGTGACGAAATTGTATATATTTCAGATGTCGCTCGACCCGGGACGTTTCGCCTATCAATAGAGTGTATAGCCACAGTATCGAATAGGTTACTGGTAGGGTGTACATCTAGCCCCCTCTTCGATACAGTGTTACGATAGACGAAACGTCTCGTTCGATTGACATATATAATATACAATTTCGTCACATCGGTGTACAGGTAAATGATGCATATTGCTCACTCGGTCATAACTTCACAAAGAGGCCAGTAGGTCTAGAATCGTTGCCACACGTTGGATACGTGCATTACTTGTTTATGCATAACGTAAACTTTGATATTACATTTTTCCAAACTGATGAATCTTATTAAAGAATACAAGGTGTTTCCGAGGGGTAAACTTTTGTTTTACTAAACAAAGTATCGGTCATGATGTCTCCCGTCGAATCAAGAAAAGGAATAAGGTCACAAAACTATATAAAACTTAATAACCCGGTCTTCAATCAGTTTAAACAACATGCGTGTAGGCAGTAGACATAGGTGGTGATCAGGTAAAACGATGACTGTCAACATTCTTCAGCATTGCTGAAACCCGATAAAAACCCAGTGGACAAATCTATTTAAGAAATCCTTATACTCAGAATAATATGGCGGGTCAAACTGTGGTATGTTGGCTACATAAGCAATGGCGACTGCTGTGTTGCTGCTGAGGAAAGGAAAGGTAACAAGAGTGAAAGTCGTCACGTTTGTAATCGAGAAGGGCAGTGTGGTAAATACTACTGCCATAAAGTATTAAGATAAATTGAAGTATGAAGATAACGAAGGAGAGGCTGTAGTATATTTCGATACAATTTATGGAGGACAAATTATATCTGCGTAGTTTTCAAAATTATTAGTTGAAAGAAAACAATTCATTATTGATACTACATTTAAAAGTAAATATGATTCATTGTTAATTATTACAATTATAGATTGTTTTCTTCTGGACTGACATAAGAATATAAGAACCTAGAAACACAAGCTGTTCACAGAAATATCAATACAAATGTGCTTAAAGAATATGTAAATACAGACAGATCAATGATAGTCTAACGTGTGAAAGATCGTATATAACCTATTAAATAGCATGCCAACTGTGTCTGTGAGAATTATGTAAAATAAATTTCTTCTCAAATAAAAGATAGAAATGAAATTTAAAAGAAATCGACAAATACATATCTGTTCATCCACACATCACTCTAAATATTATGTGTTAGTATCCATTTACTGTATATGAGGCATTGTAATGTAATATTCATCAAAGTCATATGGAGTCAGCATCCATATAAAATTCGTGTTGAAATACAATAGCATCAATTTGCAAGCGATATTATAATGTTAGCATCCAGTTGAAAGTGATAAAAACATGTTAGCATTCATTCAAAATTGATGTGTTAGCGTCAGAGCATAAAAATGATATGATAATGTTAGTGCTAGCATACATTCGAAAGTATGGCAATAATGTTATTAAAGTTACATTTGTAAAATGAGAGTAAAACGTCAGTAAAGCGAAATCCAGATTCCTGAAAGGTCACCTTGTACTAAGTAAAGCAAGAGACAAAAGTAAACATGCTTATGAACATGCTTATTTGCTATTTTAATAAGTTTGCTTATATAAATGTTTATTTGATATTTGAATACGCTCATAAATAAACATGTTTGTTTGGTATTTTAATAAGCTTGCTTATGAACATGCTTATTTGCTATTTAATAAGCTTGCTTATATAAATGTTTATTTGATATTTTAATAAGCTCATAAATAAACATGTTTATTAGATATTTGAATACGCTCATAAATAAACATGTTTGTTTGATATTTTAATAAACTTGCTTATAAACATGCTTATTTAGTATTTTAATTAGCTTATAAATAAAAATGCGTATTTGGTATTTTAATAAGCTTGCTTATAAACATGCTTATTTAGTATTTGAATTAGCTTATAAATAAACATACGTATTTGGTATTTTAATAAGCTTGCTTATTAACATGCTTATTTGGCGTTTTGATTAGTTTGCTTATTTTAATAAGCCTATAAAAATCCTTGCCACTTTAGCATCGTGTTCAAGAGTGAATGTTAAAACTATGTTTAACTACATTTAATACACACTAAGATGACGTGTCAGTGCAATGGTTGTCACTGTGTCTATATCGTCTATATCACAATACACAGATACCACTTCAGTGTGGAGGCCATGTGTACATATCGATATACCTTGGCCAAACACACAGCTAAATGCAGCCAGAAGACATTTCTCATCTGTGAAAGTGAGCGTTTGAACAAAGGTAACAAATTGCAAAAGAGATAAACGAATCTCTTAAGCCAAATTAAAACTGTAAACAAAGGACTCGTATATCATTAACGGCCATCATAAATAGCCGATGTTCCAGATATAACTTTCTTATAAACCAGCAGATTCCATAACTAATATATAAATGGATAGGTTATGCATTACCACTAGCACCAACATTCACGAGCATAAAGCTTATTTTTTCTTCTGTGATGTAAGTAAACTCAACTATTGTGCTTAAACCTATGTCTTCACATCATTTTCTATATTTAAAACAGTAAACAAATTTAAATCTAGTCTAATTATTGCACACCGTCATATCCGACCATCATAAACAGCATGTTCCAGGAATAACTTTTGTAAGCATTTAACTGAAAGTATCAAACTATACTGTAACTATTAATACTATCGTCTGCGATGTAAGTGCACCGGCCAAACGCGGATGTCTCTCACTGAATTTCTGGAGAACTTCCGAACATACTTTTACAAATTTCTTAATTAAATTAGATACTTAAAGATATAATTCTGATATAAGATACATACGACGATTTTATCAGACTCTTGGATACCAACCCATTTACATTGTCTATCATTTAAATTGATGCTTGCTTTCAAGTTGTCGTATAATAATTACTGGCTTTACAAGTACTTATCTTGTCGGTTCTTAAAATGATTCATTGGTTTTGCAGTAACAACAGTTTCTGGAAACTGTTCCGTGTGTTTACTGCTCTGAGAGCAAACTGCTGTTTTCTCTTATCTATATAGCCTGTTTGTGGATACATGTAACTTCCTCCCCTGCTCTACCAAGCCGTCACATTTCCCAATATTTCTATCACTAACAAAATATCAGGAAACCACCGAAATCTTCCTAGACCTGACACTGTTAAACTGTCTTTATAGAACTATTTCGCGGAGTTACATATACAATTTGGGTCTGACACTGAATTAAATTCCCGATGTTTACCCCTCTTCCAATTAGGTCTGATAACGACTACTACAAATCAATCGCAATAATACCAACAATATCGGGCCATAAGAAAATATTTCAGTCCCCACAGCTAATATCTATATTTGTTAAACGCTGAAAAATTCTTGTATTTGGTGAGCATTACTGTATTGTATCTGGTAAGCATGATTTGTTACGATTTCAAATTTCCTATTGTGTTACATACTGATGTTTTATTTGTATTAATACAAATTAAATGTATTTGTCTATTGTCATTGCTATATGTGATGATATAAAGTTTACTACCATCTGTGATGATACACACTGTTATCTGTGATGGTTCAGTATCTGTGACGATACTTGATTATCATACAATATCTTTGTATGTACATATCTATGATGGTGAATTATTATTGATGATATGCGTTATTGTCTGTAACGGTGCATTATCTGTGATGATACATGATTATCTGCGATCATACAATATATATGAGTGTACATATCTTTGATGGTTTGTTATCATTGATGATATACGTTGTTGTCTTTGATGGTACATTATATGTGATGAAACATTATCTCTGATGATAAACTCTGTTATCGGTTATGGTACATATCTGTGACGATTCATGATTATTTGTGATTGTATACATTTGTAACTGTAATATCACAGTATCTTTGATGATACATATATATGATGGTGTATTATCTTGGTGATGATAGGCGTTGTTGTATGTAACGGTACATATCTGTGATTATACGTTATCTGTTATGAAACATTATCTGTTATGAAACATTATCTGTTATGAAACATTATCTGTTATGTATCATCATCTGTTATGAAACATTATCTGTTATGATATTACTTTGGTATCTATGATGAGACATAATTTTCTGTGATGATACAATATCTGTGATTAAACGTTATCTGTGATGATACCTTATCTGTGATATTACATTGTAAACTATAAAATTTCATCGTGATCTATGATATTACACTGTGATCTTTTATGATGCATTATTTTCTGTAATGATTTTTATTATCTTTGTTGCTCAGTGTAATATATGATTTCACAATGCTATCTTTTGTGATAGCATATTTCTCTAGTAAAAAAATGTTATCTAGGATGGTCTGTTTCTATTTGTTGTTGAACAGCGTTGTCGGTTATGATACACTGTTTCTGTGGCGATACATGACACTTTGTAAATTACTTCTACGCCTAGCGTTATGTTCCTCTTGACATTATACCACTTTTAATGGCGATATTCTATAGATAATAAAAACATAAAATAAACCTAAAAGCATTCATTTCAAAACAAATGTTACATTGTTCGTAAATAAGGGAGTATCTCTCTTTTTGTGTGAGGAAAATAAATCTTTAAAAGTATTAAACCCCTAATAATCTTCATCGTTTTCCAGAATTATTCTATCTCTTTATTTTATCGCGTTGCTTGATAGAAATTGAAATGAAACGCAAACTATTAGGCGAACAGATCACATATTCCCAGCCTGAAAACGACAGCGACCTTGAAATAAACAACACCAAAACCATGATCGATATCCACACAAACAACTAGTCGTAAAGTAATACGAGAGGAAACTCACAGAGCTGAAATATAGCTTTAACTATTAAACTGAGTGTTGTCTTAATTCATATTATCTCCCCTGTCAGAAATGACCTCATCACATGACCTCAAATTACTACAACCACGGTAGTATTTGAAAACAACTTCTGAAGTTTATTGCAAATGAAATGCAGTTATGTTGTATGGTTATCCAACTGGGAAAGCAACCACGATAGTATTTGAAAACAAGTTCTGAAATATATTGAAAATGAACTGCAGTTATGTTGTGATGATATCCAACTGGGATAGCATCTGTCATCTCATAACCCTTAGTCTGCAAACTTAGTCACTAATCGCATACATAATGAAAACTTGAGAAAATCATTATTTTAAAGCTGCTTGCAAATCATGCTTTTAACAAACCGAATGGATAATGGTAGTGCAACTATCGTCAATAACCAAAGAAACTGTCAAAACAAAAGTGTGATAAAATAAATACTGGGTTAATAACGAAAGCAAACGCAGAACATGTTTGTGATCTATTAATTTATCTGCACATTCAACTGTTTGACCCATAGTCATTGCATAACTTCACGTTTTGAACTGCACTTACTTTTAATGGACACCGGAAACAATATTCCTTGAATGCAGGAAAAGCTACTAGCGTACAAAAAATGCCATTTGCTTAAGTTTTGTAAGCAACCTTTCAGTTTCATTAAGTTTCGTTTTAAGACTTCTGATCAAAGCATGATTATGTTTTTGTTAGTATTTTATGGTAAAAGGATATAAAAAATACCCACTCTCTTTGTTGGGATTAATTTTTGTCCTGACATATTGAAAATGTTCTCTTGCTCTGTGAAAAAAATCCTTTCAGACGAGTATATAAAGCACTGGTCATTACATCTGCAATGCATTTTATTGTATACAGATATACATGTTTCTTTATGAAGCAGTATGTAGTCAGTATAAGACACAGTGGCAGCAGGTTTGATCTACCTGTGATAGTCTCTGATCCTACCAGTGGCATGGCACAGGGAAGTTAGTATTCTATTTGGCGGTCGCTTCATTCATAATTGATGCTGTTAACGTCTACATACTGTATATATCATCTTCGGGAAGGATGTGCCGGGACTCTAGTCTAGCATGCGTACCTTCACCGAGTACTAAACTTACAGTACTTACGGGCGTCAACAAACGTGGGAGTATATAACCCACAAGCAAACCATTGTACAAAATGAACTCACAGAAAACCAAACGAACTGAAAAAAATAAAGCAAAAGCGCACCACACATGAGAGGGAGGTATAACATATTGTACTAAAGATATATACTGTCAATTAACAATATCTATACTGACAAGGTACATATACACAATGTCACTGTACAATATATATACTGACAAGGTACATATATACAATGTCAATGTAATATATATATACTGTCAATTTACAATATCTATACTGACAAGGTACATATATACAATGTCAATGTAATATATATATATAATGTCACTTTACAATGTCTATACTGACAAGGTACATATACACAATGTCAGTGTAATATATATATGCAATGTCAATGTAAAATATATACAACGGCAAAAGAATACATACAATATCACTATATTGTATATATACTGTCAGGGAACATGTATACAATGTCAAAGAATTATCTATATATACAAAGTCAATATATAATATCTATACTGTTAAGATACATAATTATATACAACGTCAATGTAAAATATATACAAAGTCAATGTAAAGTGAATACAAAGTCAATGTAAAATATGTACAAAGTCAATGTAAAATATGTACAAAGTCAATGTAAAAATGTAAAATATGTACAAAGTCAATGTAAAATGTGTACAAAGTCAATGAAGAATATGTACAAAGTCAATGTAAAAATGTAAAATATGTACAAAGTCAATGTAAAATGTGTACAAAGTCAATGTAAAATGTGTACAAAGTTAATGTTGAATATAATACAATGCCATTGTACAACATATACAATGCCAATGCAACAGAAATATGTGGACATAACTTTTAATTATTCAGTCTGTCGTAGATCTGGAAATATAGCATATCCAATTTGTATCAGGTTCGAACACAAAGTTAGACCACGTCGACTGCATATTCCACGCTTTTTATCTAAATTAGTTGTGCAATTGTTCAAGCAGATATTCTATAGATTTTGAGGAGTCATATTTCATTTTACTTCACTAATTTTGTCCCAGAAAATCACAAACAAATGTATGCAAGTTGTTTTTGCAATCAAATGCGATATATTTGACTAATTCATATAGGTGTACTGTGTCCACAACGGTAACGTTAAAGAAATATGGCGTTTAAAAGATTTTTCCTTTTATGTAAAATGTGATAAATTCGCATTATGCAGTATTCCGTCTTTGCGTATTGCAGAGTTATCTTCTCTTGTGAGCAGTTATTGATTGTTACGTCATTGGTTCCTGTGAGAAAAAATTTCGTCGTTTTCTCAAAAATTGATGACGTTACTCTCACAAACAAATGACGTACCAATCAATACCTGCTCACAAGAGCAGATAACTCTGCAATACGAAAAGACGGAATGAAACGGCAAGCGAAGTAAAACTAACTACGGTTTGATATCCTGTCATATATTAACGTTACTTATCGCTAAAAATGTTGTTTTACAGGAAACGAGGAAATGAGCAATTGACTCTGTTACTGAGATATTTATCAGCATTACAGTGTAAACATTACAACCCAATGAATACTTGATACTCCTTCACATTAAGTGTCCTAAGTATGCGTTATTTGTGGTAGCAAACAAAGTATGTAAGAAACGTCCAATTACACACAATGCACTTGAATGCCTGTCAATGTGACAAGAAAGTAAGACTGCGTACCTTACACAAAGTTCAAGATGTATTGATTCAATCAACGGGTAAAAATTGATTTAATGTTAAAACGTGTCTTCTCTATACCACAGAAGTATGATGGCATTGCATCACAGCTATTGAAATACAGTTTTATAAAGAACCCATTGTTTGGTTACACGAGTCAGTTTCACTAGCTATTTTGACCACTTCTATAATGTAAAAATATTTATATTGTTCACAAAGGTATACCCTGTTACTGTTATAATTATTGTATAATTACTTCTTCAATACAAACTCATATTCAATTCCCAAGTAAAGACAAAAAAATAGTTCAGATGCAACACACTCAGGTTCTTACCATGATATGATATTATGAACCTGTATGTACTTTTAATAAATGTTCTAAGAGTAAATATACATATCTCAATGATTCTCAACGATGCTTTTTTCCACAATAACTCGTAAAACGATAACTATACAGTTTTACTTTAGATTCTCAAGCAATAGGATATAAATCAATAGATAGGCGCGCTGCCTCGCGTGTAGCAATCACGTGTGAAGGTATATCCTGGAGACCGATAGATGTGGCAGGGTCGATGATACAAACATATGTTATATATACAGACAACATCAGCTGTTACATACATTGTTATCAGATCGGTTATGTAGTATATATATATAGTATTGTATTAGATCGTATATATATTTCTATATTATTGTATCAGATTATATTATCTATATAACTAATTCTGTTATCAGAACGTAAATATAATATGTACATATAATATCGTTATTAGATCTTATATTTATAATATTTTATCAGATCGTATATATAATACATACATCATTATACAATACATACATCATATTGTTATCAGATCGTATAATATATTTATAAATAATTCCGTTATCAGAACGTATATATTATATATATATATATATAATATTGGTATCAGATCGTATATAAATATTGTTGTTATCAGATCATATAATATATATATATTATTATTATCAGATCATATACTATCTATAAATAATTCTGTAATCATGTATATATAATATATATATGCAATCTTGTTATCAGATCGAATATATATAAGCTATATATATAATGTGTATGGATTGATGTATCCATCTCATTGACATATTCCACAAGATCAGTATAATTATGACCTTATTTATTTTAAAGATTGTATGTACATTCAAATGATAAAATAATTGCATCTCATAATTTGATTAGCCCATGAATCACATAATAAAAAAGGCATAACCAAGATATGGATAAGAATAGTACACATTCAAATATAATATACATACTTATGTACGTACCGATTTGATATTAAAGTCCAGATCCATGGTTTACGTCTTGCCTGCATCAATGAATGACATGTACTTCTGAATGTCGTCTCTGCAAAACGTCAATAATAACAACACGTATGATAATATTTACGTTGTCGATACCTTGACCTTGGTATTAGTACAGTAACTCAGCTAGGTAATGATGTTTTAATAACTGTGACGTCACATATTATAGAACCGATACTCTGTGACGTCATTACACATGTATTCAAGCATGTTTTGTATTATTTGAGACTGTGAAAGTTGATGCTCAGCTAAGAAATCATATCTCCAGTTTAACCTTATAAAACATAAATCCCAATTAAATCTAAACTCACCTAACTTAATACATCTCTCACATACATAATTATCTATCTTAAAACTAATTCTCTAAGTCATCTATTCAATTATCCATGCCGCTAACATCACTTCTCTCAATCCCCTCAATACTTGCCAAACTTAACACTAATTCTTAAATCAGCTGTATAATTATCAAACTATAGACATAATTTCTCTCAGACAACACAATATGTATTATTATTTGATTAACTAACAGTACTCCTAGACACCGCAATACATTATTACCTTATTAAACACTTCTTCTTATAGTTAGCTCTACTTTTGTTTAAACTAAACATCGCTTCTTTCAGAACCACCTCGATGCTTACCTATCTAAACACTTCATCATCTGTTTTATTTTAAAAATAACCATACATTTTCTCAAACATCTCTAAAAAAAAATCTTCTTCTCGTAGTCAGCTATATAATTATTTATTTAAACTACACGACCTCTAGACTCCTAAACACTTACCTTACTAAACTCGACATCTCAGGGTCAGCTGTATAATTTTTTGATTAAACAGCACTACTCCCAGACACATGATAACGTATCTACCTAAACACTTTTTCTCATAATTAGCTCTATCGTTATCAAACTAAATATTCCTTTTCTCGATGCCTACCTAACTTAATAATACTTTTAATAATAAAACAACAGTAGGTTCTCGTTAACACTTAAATAGACATACGAAACTGATATCACGGCTGGTAACAGCTGTGAACTTAATAAGTTCCGTTTCATTAACTCTGACGTGTCATTAATTCATATAAATATCTGTATTAAAGATTATCGGTCACAGAAGTAACATTAACGGTAGCTACCGAATAATTATGTTTAGCGTGATAGCCATCTCATTCCTTCCCATTAGCCATTGGACTTTGTCTTAAAGTGTACTGACCCCTAAGGCTACTGATGTTCGTGTGTATACATATGTTATCATAATACTGGACCTGTGTACTTACGGTACACAGTATATATGGGAATCATCTGCCCTCGTTATAGCGATCTGTGTACTAATCTACATCAACCAGGACCTTGATCAGACATCAACAAATGAACTTTAACACCAAGGTAACAAGTGACCCAGATGTTACGATCCACCACTCAATTAACTAAAATATCAGATGTATAGCTACTTTAAATGACGAGTCTGTCGAATTACCAAGATATTAATGATAATTTGTACCATATGAGTAGTACATATCCAGTGACAATTCATTCAAATCATCCTTATTTGACGACACATCAAAAACTACAACTGTCAAGTTCAATTAAAAGTGAATACCAAAATGGTAATTCTCAAATTCAAATCAGTTTTCATTGCAAACTAACATGATAGCCCGACAATTAATCCAGTAATTATTAGCTCAAATGCAAAGACTTACTCATAAATGTATTAACACAAGTTTACCCCAATATGACAATCCACCATTACTGAATTGTAACCCCATTGTTTATATAACGGTATATGTAAAGGTGGAAGTTATAATGTAAACTTCAATTAACGGTTTGTTTACTTTTTTCCTGGTGGTCTCTCCGAACAAATAACTGACGGTATGATCTTTGTAAGATATATATTGGATAGACAGATATACATGTAAGCGAATCTCATGTTTCCGTAGCAGACAGCACATCCACATACGTACAATGCACGCCAACAGGAAGCAAACATTTTACTGCATGAGGAACACGACATTGACGTGAGTTACTACACTGGTAAATGTTTTAGTAATTAAGAGCAGTAAGCAGACAAAAAATGATTTTATACATAATTAATACCAACCTTCTGTGCACGAACCTAGAGAATTATGTTTCCGAACGAACGTCGATACCGACACGTCGTAACATATGCTTTCTACTGTCTATCCGTTCCATGGACGTATCGTTTTGTACATTTGGAGTCCCGGGGCTATCAGGAAACGTATCTTAATACACAGTGTATCGGGCCTGTGTAGATATACCATACACATGTCCAAACCACGCTGCAGATGTTGCCGTCTAAACGTGTCAGGGCGCATTACACATGAGACGGGCACCTTCCCAGCGGGTTATAATCCCAGAATTACTCTTATACACTGTAGTCAAGCATGGCCGACTCTCTCAAATAGAATAGTCGGAGGCTTGATGCAGCAGCAATCTCGTCACCAACGCTATTTCAGTCGCTGATATATATACACATATCTATTGCATTGATTTGATCTAAAATAGTGCATGACTGACTTAAATATCTTACACAAGTAGGAGATATCCACATCTTCGAAATCATGTGAAACGCTTATACCGACACACTGCATAGACCGTCGTATGCTTTTGACTTGAATTCGTCAATAGTAACCGGATATGCTTTCATTTATTGTGGCATTGAAATCTGCTTAAACAGTAGGACCAGGCTTGTTTGTTCATGAAGTAGGAACGACCTACTGATCTAATTAACGTTCTCTAGCGAGCCTTCACAAAGACTTTCAATGCATGCATTTAACTTTAGGCCAACCAATTTTTCAGTTGACGAGCAAATCTGTTTTCATTTACAAATAAGCCCCAGGATATGTGAAATGGTCCCATGAGCATGTAGTGCGATATTGCAGATTGACTGAACGTACCTGTAAGTGCGAGAATGGCATGGAACTAGTACTAATGAGACCTTACATAGATTCCGTGCCGTCTCCCACTCAACAAGTTCATTGATGCATATTGATTTCAGGAGTATCTATATTTTGTCCCATTTAACCTGTAATTAATCGATACACAAACACGATTTACATGCTAAAGGGATGTCTCTATTTTAAGTGTACCAATGAAGGTATAGTCACGACATTTTGTTTTCTCTCAACAAGTCCCTCCGGGCGTGTAACGTATTAAAAGCAGCCACAGACAGGGTTTTGTGATCAATATAGCAAATAAACTGTAGCAATGTTATGAAAACATACCCAACGTAAAATAGCAACAACCGTGCGAGGACAATGACAGCGGTAAGTACAATAGGGGAGAGTCATGAATATTCAATACAGAGCTCTCAGGAAGAATAGATATTCATACAGCACACTAGGTAAAAGTTGAGTAGAACGTAGGCATTGTATATAAAAACAAATAGTCCACATATTAAGTTCATGTCCTGGTGATGGGTTACGCATGGTGTATGATTATAAGGAGAAACTATCTATGGTTGTTCGGATACAATACTTGACTAGATGTCCATTTGAAATTTCATTGACAGTATTCTAATCACAAACCAGGTATGTTTACCAGATAAAATCCACAATTGCCTTTAGCCTTCCAACAAACCATCACTCTTGGTATATTGTTATTCGCAGGAAATTGACCAGCATTTACAAAATTGTATCGATTAGGTACTAACTTAACACAAGGTACTTTGGTAATAGATGCAGTATGCCAAAAATGCAAATACGATCGCTACGAATGTTTTTTTTCTGGAAAAACAAAGAATGCTTAAATGGAACTACTTTGTTAACAATCTAAAGCAAGAAAAACAGACTACCAAGAGAATATCCTTTAATTAAATACCACCAATACATAAATGTAAATATGATATTTAATGTTGAAAAGAAGATAAAATATTGTTATGTTCATGACATCTTAAACAGACTTGATTTTGTCTCGTTTGTAACAAAATGAATGAAAATTCGGTAAGTCTTTACATAAATGTATTTACTAGTTAATTTTATTGTGTTAAAACAGCATTTTCCATATTCAGTAAATAAGTAAATAATACGATTACTTACATTGTCCAGACAAAGACAAATACGGATAGCCAGTAAATAAGACAATGCTATACACTGTGAATATAAGTACACATACGGATAGCCAGTAAATAAGACAATGATATACACTGTGGATATAAATACACTTACGGATAGCTAGTAAATAAAATAATGATATGCATTGTGGATATATATACACATACGGATAGCTAGTAAATAAGACAATGATATACATTATGGAAACCAATACACATACGGATAGCTAGTAAATAAAATAATGATATGCATTGTGGACATATATACACATACGGATAGCTAGTAAATAAGACAATGATATACATTGTGGAAACCAATACACATACGGATAGCCAGTAAATAAGACAATGATATGCATTGTGGACACCAAGACACATACGGATAGCCAGTAAATAAGACAGTGATATACAATGAGGATATAAATACACCTGTGGATAGCTAGTAAGTAAGACAGTGATATAAATGTGGGTATAAATACACATGTGGATAGTTAGTAAGACAGTGATATACAATGTGGATATAAATACACCTGTGGATAGCTAGTAAGTCAGTGATATACATATGCAAGACCAACGAATCAGAAAGCACGAGTTTATTGCGCGGACAAATATATACGTCCGCGCAATAAATGAGTACTTTCTGATTCGTTACAAAAACACGAATGTGTGGTCTTGCTTTTATCACATACCTTCCGTATTTGGTAGAGATCGATACAAAGATTTTATAAACTTTGATAGTTTTTGCAAATACCGGGAACTTTTCAGTTCGCCAGGACAAAGGGATTCCCCTTAAAAAGTAGTTCCGGCTAGTAGGTAAATACAACATTCCGTATTGCACATGTGCAATACAGAACGTTGTATTTCCTGGTCTGAAAATTGGTTGTATAACTATAACAAGATTCAACAGGTATGTGATAAAATGTGGATATAAATACACCTGTGGATAGCTGGCAAGACAATGATATATAATGTGGATATAAATACACTTGCGGATACAGATATTGTTGATATAAATGCACCTGTGGATAGCTAGTAAGAAAGACAGTAATATACAATGTGGAGACAAAGACACATACGGATAGCCAGTTAATAAGAAAATAATATACATTTTGGACACCAAGACACATACTGATAGCTAGTAAACAAGACAGTGATACACATTGTTCATATAAAGATAAATGCTGATAGTTCGTAAATAAGACAATGATTTACATTGTGGTTTATTAAAGACACATGTGGATAGGTAGTAAATAACACTCATTTACATTGTGGGTATAAAGACACATGTGGATAGGTGGTAAATAAGACAATGATTTATAATGTGGATATAAAGACACATGTGGATGGGTGGTAAATAAGACAATGATTTGCAATGTGGATATAAAGACACATGACAAAACAAAACAGAAAGCAAAACAAATGTACGTACACTGTGGATACCTTGACACATGGGCTGTGGTTTAGTCCAGGTGTGGCTACGAAACAGCCTCGGATAAGATAATACACTGTTGCGAAACTTGTTATCTTCTCCGGGACTGGACACTGGGTAATAACCTTGATAAAACATTCAATTATTCTTCAAATAATATTATGCCATCGGTCCACTTCAAACTGTAACAACACAACGTAGTTAATTTATTTCCAGTGAAGCACAGCTATTGTTAATATATTGGTTTTTATACATGTCGGTTAGGGTTTTTTTATAAATCGTTTTCGTTCATGTATCTGAACAGCAAATTAAGAGGCTTCATGACATACTGTGTAATTGTTTCTTTGGATAAAAAACGTCATCCCGTTATTTCATCCTCTTATTAAACCAAGTGAATAATTGCCCTAGTGCAGCGGGAACACGTCACAATCCTCCACCAGTCGACGAAATGGTTCCATCGTCCTTTGATAGTCAGTCTTCATACCGCCGTACAAACACGTGCCCATCTCCAAGGATGCGGGTTACATGGATCACAAATTGTGTCATATATCAGAAATTTCTTAACCAAACGCTCGCCGCTGCAGTTAGCGGCCGTGCAGTTGGAGGCTGTAGCTGTGTGTGATGTAACTGTAGATACCACGTTCTATTGTCAAAGCACACCCCTAGATTTGCGTAATTGCCGTGCCATGAGGAACGGATATGGTAAAAATTCCTTTAGTAAAAAGACAAAATTGGTTTATTACATTGTGCGCAGCTAAGCCCATCTGTCTTCGCTCATTGCACGCGCTCTAACAGGCCATTTTGCTTTGTTATGACCAGCAAGTAACGTTTAAGTGATTCCCCATCGCTGGCTTCCAGCAGTTTACATCAATTTAAAAAATAAACGTGAAATGAAAAAGCACGTGATTTTTTGCACCAAGGACATTATTCTCATTCCATCATACATGCATTGGCATTTCACCTCGGACACAAAATGATCATAACCCATCATTTCAATCAGTTATTATATAGACTTTGACCTTTCACCTCAGTCTGTATACATATCAAGACCTATCATATAAGTCAGTGTTTATACCAATATCTTTAACCACAATCATTATAGAGACAATGATCTATGAGCTTAGTTATTATATACACTTTAATTATCACCTCAGCAATTATATAGACCAATATATCAAACCTTAGTCATTATATAAACCACGACCTATGACCTAAGGTTTTTATATACACCTTAATTATCTCCTCAGTAACTATATAGACCAATACATTTAACATCAGTAATTAACAGACTATGACCTGTAACCTAAGTCATCATATAGACCATGACTATCACCGCAGTCATTACATAGACCAATATATTTAACATAAGTCATTATACAGACCACGACCTACAAAAGTGCATCACCCCAGTCATTATGTAGACCCTGATTAATAATCTTAACTTAGACGTATCAGTTCATTCCGTTATATAGATCATGACCGATAACTCCTAACGTCAGACAGACCACATTGAACGTAGCGTACCAGTTGCATCAAGCTGAAGTTTGGACTAGGTTATAAGGTTGAGAGTACATCTTTAACGGTCGATAATTACTTATGTCGCATTGATTCCAGGCGGTATGTACTTGCAACGGTAACGTAACCATTATGGTAAAGTGGTCCGTTTGAAAGGAAAACCCTATCTCCGTGTATTTGAACATTCTCCATAACATGATCAATGTTCGTGCATTATTCATGTATCCTGATAAATGCTTAGCTCGAGTTTACACTAACTGTGCCAATGTTTCACGTGTATGACACGTCTACCCACCAGAATCATTCACAAATGTATAACTAGCTGAGCACCTCTGAAGCATGTGGTACACAGGACAGGCACGACCCTGTCAGCTTCCTATATAACATGAAACAATTAAGGGGAAAAAAGAACCAAAATAAATAAATCTTAATTTATTTCTCTGTTGTTGTGTTATAATAATTAAACAAAGTCAGCGAATAACAAAAACATGAGCTGCAAATTCCTGAGAAATCCGAGGTAAATGACATTAATAAATTATATATAAGCTTTGGTTATAACTGTTAAGCTCGGTAC